CCCCAGATAGTTGCTATGTGGGCAAACATGATAATGTCAGTCAGTCAGTCAGGGGCCATTATGCCAAAATACTAAAAGGATCGTGGGCTAAGTGCGAAAACCCCTAAATTTAAGGCTCAAAATAATGAAAACAAAGTGATGATGCTCCCTCAAACTTTCAGTCAGGGGCCATTATGCCAAAATACTAAAAGGATCGTAGGCTAAAGTGCGAAAAACCCTAAATTTAAGGCTCAAAATAATGAAAAAAAAGTGATGATGCTCCCTCAAACTTTCAGTCAGGGGCCATTATGCCAAAATACTAAAAGGATCGTGGGCTAAAGTGCGAAAAACCCTAAATTTAAGGCTCAAAATAATGAAAAAAAAGTGATGATGCTCCCTCAAACTTAATATGATATGATTTTTTTTTTTTGCATTTTGGCAAATTGTCTCTAACTTGTAATTTCTTTTTCAAGTCGCTAACTTGCCAAAGCGTTTGACAAAGTACAAAATAATAATAATAATAATAATAATTTCTTTTTCAAGTCGCTAACTTGCCAAAGCGTTTGACAAAGTACAAAATAATAATAATAATAATAATAATTTCTTTTTCAAGTCGCTAACTTGCCAAAGCGTTTGACAAAGTACAAAATAATAATAATAATAATAATAATTTCTTTTTCAAGTCGCTAACTTGCCAAAGCGTTTGACAAAGTACAAAATAATAATAATAATAATAATAATAATACTAATACTAATACTAATACTAATAATAACAATAATAATAATAATAATAATAATAATAATAATGGGATAAAGTGTGAAAAAACTTAAATTTAAAGTCCAATAATGAAAAAAAAGTGAAAAACCTTAAATTTAAAATCCAATAATGAAAAAAAGTGTAGCTTAAAAGAATTAGAATCCACCCTTTCTTTTAACACAACTAAAAACATTTTTTGTTAAATCTACAATAATACTAAACTAAGCCCACGTGGATCAAACAAATCAATTGCAGGATTTTTCAATAACGTGGGACCCAATTTTTGTTTTTTTCTTTTTTTTACAGTTTTTTTTCTCAATTAGTAGCGGAAGTGTAAGGAAAAAAAAATAGAAAATAAGGTGCGTTTATAACTTATGTTTGAAGACATAATCTATACAAGCTATAGAAATTCGTTTCAATAATTTATATAAAAAATTATTTTCCTTTTCAAATGCCTTTGCTACAGTTTATTACAAGTTAAATTTACTTTCAAAAACAGTAAAATTGCAAGTGTTCAGAGCAAAATATATATACCCGTTTAGTTCGTTGATTCGAGTTTTTAATTCGAGTTGAGATGTGATTTTATGTGAGAGCTTTTTACTGTAGCAAAAAAGTTAGATGTGATTGTTTGTGAGAGCTTTTTACTATAACAAAACTCGAATTCTAAACTCAAATCAGTGAAATGAACGGGGCCATATTTTTTACAAGTTGTGCGGGGCGTGGGTATTAGGAGAGAGTAGGGATAGTGTCTATCCAAATAATGCAACTACTTTCTTGACAAGTTGAATCTCTATCACGTATGCGGAGCCGTGCGGTGTTTATTTTTTTAGCCGATTAGTGTTTCTGATTACGGAATCATGGGATAAGCTGTGAAAACCCTTAAATTCAAAAGTTCAATAATGTGTATATATAACTTAACAACTCCTTCATTTTACAAATTTAAATTTTATTAAAATAAAAAATTTTAAAAAACAGTCATATTTAACTTTTTTACTACAATAAGGCCTCGTTCGCTTTGCGGATTTGAGTTTTCAATTTAAGCTGAGATCTGATATTTTCTTAGAGCTTTTCACTGTAGCAGAAAAAGTTAGATGTGACATTTTCTGAAAGTTTTTTACTGTAAAAACTTAAAACTAAAAGTTCGAATCGGTGAAATAAACGAAGCCTAAAAAACTCTCATATAAAATCACATATCAACTCAAATCGACAAATTAAATGATGCCTAGAAGAATTAAAATCCATTCCTATTTTCCCTAAAAAAATAAAAATCCACTCCTGTCAGTATAAAATAAGAAAAGTGAGTTAGCAGAGAGGTTTCGATCCTGTGCCCTGTGGGTTATGGGCCCACCACGCTTCCGCTGCGCCACTCTGATATCTGCTTATTAACGACAAGATTTATATTTATCACAGTACTTACTTCCATAACATAACAGAACCTCTTTTGCCTCTCTCTGCAACTGCAAGAAATTTCCGACAAACGAAACGAAGAAAATTCCGAAAAGAAGGGGGAAAAAAAAAACCATGCGGAGAAGGCCTGGAATCGGTGGTTTACAAAATGCCGCTGCTGCCAGGGTTTGTTTAATCTTCAATCCTTCCATTTTTTCTCGCAATTCTCTTCCAATTACAATCAGCTCATTCAATTTCATTTGAAATTTTTCTCAATTTTTATGATTTTTAATAATGTTTTTTGGGTAATTATAGGATCAATATCGATTGCTAGGAGAAAATGTAGCGAAGGTCAGAACCGACCTTATGAAGGAACAGCTCGCCACTTTCCGTTCCCAATTAGAAGAATTCGCCTGCAAACACAAGGTCTTGTTTTTTCCCCCATTTTGTTTCTGATTTCGATTTGTTCCTCAATCTTGTAGAAAACTATAATCACTTTCATTTTCGTCCTCTCTTTATTATCAAACTTATTCCTCCTTCACGGATTCGAATTTTCAATTGGAGCTGAAATGCGATATTTTCTAGACTTTTTTAGTGTAGTAGAAAAAGTTAGATGTGACATTTTCTGAGAGTTTTTTACTCTAGAAACTTAAGACTGAAAACTCGAATCGGTGAAATGAACGAATATAATTATGCATAAAATCATCAGTTTAATGCTGAATTTTAAGGTTGTTCTGATTACAATACATGTACTTTAGTATTTTTGGTACAAGATTATGCGTTTTGGTGATTGAAGTTTTGAAAAAGCTGTTTATGATTGGTGCAGAATGATATTCGGAAGAACCCCGCGTTCAGATCACAATTCCATGAGATGTGTACTAAGATTGGAGTAGATCCCTTGGCATCAAATAAAGGATTTTGGGCAGAGCTTTTGGGCATTGGTGACTTCTACTATGAACTTGGTTGGTATCGTCTTCTTATTTCTGACTGGTAACAATGTTTCGAAAGGCTATTTTAGGCCCATTTGGCTCACGCGTTCAAGTCAAGTCAGTGATTCTGATTTAATGGCGGGAACTTTGTGAGAGAACTATTAGTAGGAAATTTTTGAATTGAAATTATTTATAAGAGGAAAACACAGTAGAAAAATCAAAATCATGGATTTATATACATTTGTCAAGCCCGTTCGTACTCAGAACAGTGAAGTAATGATAAAACTAAAGATACATAGAAAGTTCATAGTTGTAGATTCATAAACAACAATGGGGTAAGGTTGCTCTTTCTTCTCGATAAGGTCTAGGTTCGAGTTGGCCCCACTGCGGCGGCCAGTGTATATGGGAAATCCACTTCATGAGGAATCTATATTTTACGTGGGAAGGCACTGCCTCCTGGGTTATCTTGGCAATCCACCCTCTGTAACTTTTTTTTTTTTTTTTCCTTTGATAAAAAGGAAATAATGTCTAAAAGTTAAAAACAAAAATTTCTTTAAGTTTAAAACACACGCGCAAGCACACATACAACAACAACAACAACAAGCCTTAATCCCAACTAATTGGGGTCTGCTATATGGATTCTACTTTTCCACACAACTCTGTTCGAAATTAAACTTTTCTGAAGGCCTAGATCAATAATGTCTTTCCTAACGACTTCGGTCTACGTAATTCTTAGTCTACCCCTCCCTCTCCTTGTATTTGGTATAAGAATGTCCTCCCAATCACGAACTGGTGCTTCTAACGGTCTACGTTGGACATGCCCGTACCACCTCAAGCGGCCTTCGCGCACCTTATCTTCTATTGGTGCTACACCTACTTTACTAAATATAAAGTATTGATCAATATAGAGTTATGCAGTAACTCTTCAAAGTTGAACTAAAGCCTAAAATGTGTGTGAAGTTGCTGTAATCGATAACACGAGATGGGGACTTTAGTGGCAATGAAGAATATGCCAAGGGTGATGACTGAGAACTTGCAGTTAAATCTCATACTTGTATTACTTTCCCTTAGATTTGGAACAAGTACTGGTTTTAATCACTACCCTTTTTCCTCCTGCCATTATCTGTAACAGTTAAAAAAAAAATTTATGGGTGTAATTTGTCATTGAGAATTTGAAGGGTGCCGTTGATTTCTTATGAACACTGAGATTAAGGAAATCGAAGCAGTTCACAAGTTTCTGCATGTTGTTATGTATAATTTATTCACAGAGTTGGACCTCCTTGGTTAGACAGGTGTGCAAATTGTTGAGATATGCTTGGCAACAAGACCTCACAATGGAGGTTTGATCAACCTACACGAACTATGTAACCTACTTCGTAAGAGACGGAAGAGTGATAGAGAAGCAGTTTCTGAGGATGACTGCCTACGAGCGATAAGTAAGCTGAAGGTATCATGGTTTGGTGCCTGTGGCTAAAGTTGGTAATATTTTATAACCTTGTGAGTAAGGTGCTTCATTTAGAGAACACTTTAATTATAAAATCAACACAAAGAGTCAGCTGTCCATCCCTGTATTTGCTTGACATAGATTAAGTTTCTTTGTCTATTGTCCTTTATAAACATACTAAATTACTAATAGCATTCTGAGTATAATATGGTATAACTGTTATTTGTTGAGTAATCAAATTATAGAAGAATGTTTGCCTAGCAAAACTTATTGGAAATTTTGTTTCTATGATCAATGATATTGTCTTAATGTAGAATGAGATTTTATTCATGCATTTTTATAGGCTAACATTTAATGCATTGATTTCAGGCTCTGGGTAACGGCTTTGAGGTGATTTCTGTTGGAAAGAAAAAGCTTGTTCGTTCTGTTCCAACAGAGTTGAATAAAGATCATAATGAAATTTTAGAGCTCGCCCAGGTTAGTATTTTTTTTTTTATTTCATTTACTTTCTAGCATGTTTTATACAAAAAAAAAAAAAAAAAAAAAAGATCCTTCTTTGTTTTGTCTTGACTTCTTTCTTTTAAATAATTTCTTTAAAAAAAAAAAAAAGATTTATTCTGGGTATACTTTCTTTTACGCTGAACTTCTAGGTTTGGTATCAACCAAGATAAATTATTCACGATGGGTGCGATCATTCCAGAACTAAGATAATTATTGAAAATATAAAATTATATTTATAATCACATTTGATTTATATTCTAGGCTCAAGGTTTTGTGACAATTGATGAGGTTGAGAGGCGGCTTTCTTGGACCCCTGGGCGTGCAATCGACACTCTTGACACATTGCTAGATGTATGTTCTTACGAAATCCCTGGTCTATTACTCTATATAGCCATTTCAGCCTCTTCCTTTTCCCCTATTCCTGTTATGTAAATGTGGTAAACGATTGCGTGCTTAAAACCCTGTTAATCTGCTACAGGAAGGTCTTGCAATGATCGATGATGGCCACAGAGACGGTAAACGCCGATATTGGTTTCCCTGTGTTTCTACCATTGCATCGACAGTAGGGGCCGATACGTAACAGGCTCGGAGAAAGACATGAATTTTAGTGACCCAACTGCCAGAATTGTATGCTCATGAAAATGATTGCTTGTGAAAACATGTATAAAGGATGGGAATTTCTTGTTAAAAGAAAAGAAATGGAAATTGATTGTAGTGAATAATTTTTTATTTGGTAACTCGGTTCATACAACTGCTACCAGTTTCAAATTTTATACACTCGACTGATAATGCCAATGATCATATGCAGAGCCAAATACTAGCTGATCTCTTTGGATAAATTATACAATATACATTTAATAATTGCCAACAATTGTGTTGAATATAAATCTGTTGAATAAATGACTTGGAAAAGATGAAACATGGTCAGCTGACTGTAAGTTGAGACGGGGTTTCAGCCTCTTCCGTCCAATCGGAATTTGGCTCACTCCAAGATCTGGGTCGCACTCCTAGCTTGAAGAACAAAATCATCTCCAATGCCTCAAAAACCATTTGCTTATCCAAAAACTCATTCCAAACCCCACTTACTATGCAGTAATTATTGTTGTATGGCGGCCGGTGGTGTGCAGCATGTTGTGACCGCGACACAAGTATGCTGAGATCTTGCAATGCCACCACGAGTGGAGGGAGCCGGCTCTTTGTGCCGTGGGCCCAAGCATGAAATTGCTGGCTAAACATGATGCACCCCGAGCACACAGCAACGAACCCGTGAATTATGGGGTCATTGCAAAGGAGGTCTATGGGAAGCACTGTGAAGGTCACGGCACGAGCAAGGGCATGCAAATTGTTAGCAAACTGACGCCTAGTGATTGTCCATGGCCACTTATGGTGACCTTGGAATGCCTCTATTTGGGTACCGAAGCTTGGAGTTGAGGCATCACCATAATTATCAATGCCCCAATGGTAAACTCCGGACCCAAGATCAGCCAATATGTACCCAACCAAGCCAGCCAAAACGGGCTCTAGCCAAATGTGCGAATTGGCTGCACCTGCCAAGGACTTGGCTAGCGAAATGAGCACTGTAGTACACCCAGATGCCACCCATGCACGGTGAGACCACGTGGACAGCAGGCTCGGATCATTGAGCACGGGGCGGGCACTATTCGTGGATAGAGACGGTGTGGGGAGCACAACCTGCGGTTCGACCACTAGCCTGTTTGGTTCAGTCTTTGGTTTTGTGGTGGTTGTGGCCGAGCAATGCACCCGGGTATGGATGCTAGGGACATGGTATTTGTGGAAATGGCGTTGGGAACCAAGGGGGAGCTTATTTTGGGCTAAGATGGACATTGGTGGATGTCTAAGAGAAACCAATGTAATAGCCTAAGAAATGCAATTATCATAGAGTAAGATCGAAATAGTGGCTGTGGACCAAAAGGGCTATTTTGTGGAAAGCAAAGATTTGAGCCAATCCAATAGTTGTGACTTGTGGTGAGCATGTAGTATGCGTGGTGTGGTTCAAATCTCAAAAAGGTTTTAGTGAATTTGTGTCACCTATTTGTTAAGGATCATTTTGATGATGTTGGAAGAAAGCACTAGAATAAGTCATAAATTATTTTTGGTTTTCTCATTTTTTTATTTGATTTTTGTCTTTTTTATCGTTTTTCTTTTATTTATTTATTTATTTATATTTGGAAATGTGGTATTCTCATTGTTTGGCAATGCAAGTGGCAACTTTTTGCTTTAAAATGGACCATAAAATTGGCCTTTACTTGAGCGTGAGGAAGTCCATTGCCTTACGGCTATGTGCTTGGTCATGTGGCAGCATTTAAGCCGTGGGTGGATGAGGAAATAAAGGATTTCGGAGTGATATTTATCGTTAAATTTCTTCTTCACTTTTTTTTCTTTGGGAGGTTTCTTGCCAATTCTTTGACTAAAGATGAAAGGAAAGAGTTTTTCTTCATCATTTATTTTTTAATTAGGCAAACATGGCTGACGTTTGTGGAATATTCAAGCCCTCAAGATTCAAGAAACATAAAAAAAAAAAAAAGAATAAACCTTCATGGGGTCACCATATGCAGAGAAATCAAGTAGATTGTTCTATTAGAAAAATAGAATGCCAAATCCCAAATTTATATTTTATGTAGAAAAGTTAGTGCCAAGAAAATTGAAGGCTTTGAATAAAGGTAGTAGATAATCTTGCTAAACCTTCAATGATTCTCTCTCTTTTGAGAAAAACAATTTCTCATTATTTCAATATGTCCTGTAAGTTCCTTTTGTTTTTCACATTATCTTTATTCTCCATCTTTCTTCTCTTCTCATCTTGTACCATTCGGTTTGAAGTGACTCCGTTGTGTGTGTAATTAAATAAAAAAAATTATGGAACAACTGTCACGTTTTGTGTTTTTTTTAAGGGAAATAGTAGAAAATAGGTCAATAAGAAAAGCTTAAGAAAGTATATAAGCCAATTTTTAGTTATAGAAATTAATCGGCCATAACTGTCAAGTTATGGTTCATAACCAAATAAGTTATGGATAAACTTGTCAAATTATGGTTCATAGCCAGACAAGTTATGGACAATTATGGACAATAACTTGTCAAGTTATAGTTTATAACCAGACAAGTTATAGACGAAAATAGTAATTTGGCATATTTATTAACTTATGTAAACTATTGACCTATTAATTTTAATTCATCTATTTTCTTCTTTCTTCTTTTTTTTTTTTTTAATTATCAGAAGAAGAAAAAAAAAGAAATTATTAGTGTCAAAGATATAAATTTGGGTCATGTCACATTTTGTGTCTTTCTCTTTCTAGTCCTCCTCTCATGCCCGTTGGGTTCGGCCACGGTCAGCTAATCCCACTTGGATCTCATCATGTCAAAAGCCCAACCCATTCTTCTAATTTTCGATTTCCTTTTACCAAATAAACAAAAAGAAAATTCGTTATATATTATTATAATATATTGGAGAATTTTGTGTGAATACCAAGGAATATTCTACCAATTCGGTATACTTCAAAACTATTAAGATGACGTTTAGTTTATAAATTTAAAATTATTTTCAGTTTATGTGTATTTTTTATGAGAAAAAATACTGTAACGAATAACGAATCATGATTCAAATTATGGTATGAATCTACTAACTAAATGTTGCATACAATTTGTCAATTTTTTATTTTTATTTTTCGTTTTCACATGATTTTGATATGACAAGATTTGGAACTGTATCTTGAAAAACATCTCTTCTTGTTTTCTAAAAAGATGACTTTATTCACACGCTATTTTTTATTCTCCACTCCGTTCTTTACATTTTAATTCCTTATGACAAAAAAAAAAACCCTCACATAAAATAATAAAAAAAACAATTATTATGACTTAGTTACAGAATCAAATTTTAATATAAAAGAAAACTAATTACATATTTTTTTTCTTTTAACATTCCCCACATATTATTATCCCAAATTTTATGTTTTTTACTAATTATTTTGTTTTTAAAGGATGATAATTCCATTTTGGCCTATTATTTTTATAACGTTGGGCTGTTTTTTTTTCTTTTTTCTTTTTCATTCTCTCTCTCTATATATATATATATATATATATTTGTTTATACTATTTAGAAGCTTTTTTTTCCTATTTTGTTGTTGCATCAATTTGTCAATAGATATAACAATTATCTTGTCATTTGCCTATATTTATGTTTTTTATTTTTCTAAAAAATGTAATAATTATTTTCTTATGTATGAGAAAAGACCCGGTACTTCAAAAAAAAAAATAGAGATAAAGAAATGACAATATTAAAATAGTAAATTAAACTAAAATGGCGGGGGCGAAAAGAAAAATAAAATGTTTAAGAATTAATAATTTTAATAAAAATGTTAGGGGTAATCTTAGAATATTAGGGTTGAATAAAAAGTAAATTTTATTTTTTTTAAATTAAGTGGAGTTTGTATTTAAAAGATGTATGTGGCGAGTAAAAAGAAAGTGGGAATAGAAACACTATTCTTAAAATTAAGTTGTATATTTTTATTTGATAGCTTAACGTGTTGGTATGTGAGGCAAATATTTAGCTTACTCTTTTAATCATTTTATCAGTTTTTCTAGGGTATAAATCATTGTATCTCAATAATCATATTACAAAATCAATTTTTGTAACTCAAGTTCACGCCTCAAGAAAGATAAAAAATAGAAATCTGTCGAGGCCAAATTTCATTTCTCATTTTTTATCATACACGTTTCAACATACGTCTTAGAGAATGAGGATTAATCATGAAATCGGCAACCAAAATGAACTACAAGCTTACAACTCACGAGTCGCGGAGTGCTAGAACGGCCAGACTAATGGCTCGCCAAACGAGTCGTCAGACGAACCTGCCAACCTGACACCTGAGATCTGCACAAAAGATCTCCTTTTCAGCAAATATATTCCACATATAATTATAGGATCATGTCCAAAATAGCAAAGGGGAAAGTCAAACATAATATTTGTTGGTCTCCGAATCAAATCCGGATGCGGAAGCGTGGCGGGGGGAGGCGGATCGTGTATAACAAAAATTTTCATAAAACCTTTGAGATACTCTATAGATTATATTAATTTATGCACGAATAAATTAATCACATTAATTCATATATTAAGAACTCAATTAGAAAAAATACTTGGAGGCCGACTCGGATGATAACTTGAGTTCTTTGACCTAGAACAATCCTTGCTCCAAAGCTTTGTGTTTAGAAAACTAATGTCTTCCACGTCAATTTCTAGAATCCACAAAGACGTGTGTGTGGGCACACATGAGACAAAACGAGTTACAATAAACACTCGAATTTCCACAAACACCAACGCATGCACGATGTGGAATTTTTTGGAGAAAATATTTTTCCTTCCTCTCTACCTTGAGAATTTCGGCCAGCCTTGACTATTAGGGTAGAAAAATTGTTTCAAATCATTCTCATATTTATAGAGTAGAAGTCAAACTTCTAGAAGGAATCCAATCTCTACCTCCAAGATAAAGCTTGTCAATTATCTCCTATTTGAATTTTGAACAAAATCTCCTCTATCCCTTATCCCTTGTGGCCGGCCATGCTAGGGATTCCTATCCCTGTGTGTGGCGCCAATATCAGATAGGGAAGAAAGAGAAAATCATCATTTATCCTGTAGTCCAATTTTGACTCAAATTCAAATTCCAATTTAAGTCAAACTTAAATTAATTTGAATTCTAAATTGAACAACTTATCAAATAAGTTTAAATGGATAAATCTAGATGTGTTCAAATTCAAATTTAAAAAATCACATTATTTAAATAATAATTAATTCTCAATCAATAATTTTCGAGTATTTAATTTTAGAATTCCGTAATTCTAAAATT